AGTGCCTCATCTTCAGCAGCCGCCAGGACCTCTTGGTTATACCTTTTAGAGCATTGGCAAAATTGTTTTTCCCAAGAGTAAAAGTCGGCATTAGGAAAGAGGCGGCCCCAGGTCATGCGCTGGATATGGGCCAAGTCCTCCATCATCTCTCGGACCAAATCCTTCTTCTCTTGCTCAGCCTTTGCCGAGAGCTCTGTAGTGAGACTCTTCTTCTGGGTCGCCAGGCGGTCCTTGACATGCGCCAAGGATTTCTCCAAGGTGTCGTATGAGGACATCTTTTGGCGAAGAGGCCTCAACTCGGCTTTGAGATTCTAGATGGTCGCCTCCAACTCATTATTCTTCTTCTGGGCCGCCTCCAATTGAGCCCTAATAGCAAGTGGCCTGCGCCTGATAATAAAGAATATCAGTTGTCAAAATTTCATTTTGGGCAATTTGAAACATTGCCTTATCACAGTCAGAGGCGGCCATAGCTTTAGCAGTTTTTACCTCTTTTTTCTTCGCATTGAGGGGCTTGCGAAGGCCGTTTACTCGGAGCAGGGACTGAATCAAAGAAAACAGGCGTCAGTTTTCAAATAAAAACAGGCGTCCTGGAATTAGACAACAAAAATATGCTAAGTATACCTCAGCAAGAAGCCCTGCAATTCCATCCAGGTGAAGGGTACCGACACCCCTGACCGCCTCTCTCTCCGCAGGAGGGATGACTTTGATCATGAACTTGGCCAATTCGGCCAGGTCTGGTTCTTGGGGGCCGCCTGCATCAAGAATGAACCAGAATGTTAGAGAAAGCAAAAGGAAAGTAGGTCCAAATCTAGAAGGGCAGTTTCATACTTCTAGGCGGCCTGCTAGGAGTTTGAGAAGGAGTGGCTGGCTGTTTCTCAGCAGCCGCATGTTTCCTGGCAGTACCAGGAGAACTCGCAACAGTCGTCTTCCGGGCTTTGGAGTCCGACTGTTGGGAGGAGGAAGTTCTTGGTGTGCCCACCTAAAAAAAATTATAAAAAAAAAATAAATAAATAAAAAAAAAAAACAAAACAACCTGTTAGTATATGTATAAACCCAGCCTCTTAACATAAAAAGGGGGGAGAGGTGAAAGTTGGAACTTACTAAGGGCGTCTCCTTGTTGGGAGAGTCGGCCGAGGATTGTTGCTGCATGATGGATGCACGCAACATAGCAGCCGCAGTCTTAGAGGCGGTAATCTTGCTCTTGGCTTCCGCTGCATAAATAAATGCGAAAGTTAAGAATGTTCACAAAAATAATTTCTGCAAAAGCAAGTATTCGTCAGGTCGGCTACCTCTTGAGCACCGACTGCTGAGGCCACAGGCGGCCAGGAAGTACTCGTCATAGAGCCATTTATAGCTCGGGACGCAGTGTAGGGGTGCTTGCTCCCGTACCCCCGTAGTAGAGTCGACCCTCGTCTCTACTTTAAAGAGTCCTTTGTCTAAGATCTCTTTTTTAGCTTTTGGGGGAAGAGGCGGCATGCTGCGACAGCCTGCAAGAAGAGGCGGGTCTCGGTTCCACCTGTTAAAGCGTTGGTTCAGCTCCTTGTCTGAACTCTCAATGATAAGGAAGGTGCTTCTCCAATCCTTCCATTTGTTCTCTTTACCTCTCGTCATGAGGTAGCCTATGTGGCTTTTCAATTGATACCAGCCGGTACTGCCTGCTACATAGCCGAGAACGTTGAACCAGGATTTTTGGGCTAACTGCCATAACCCCAACTCATATCCGTCCAGGATCAGCTGAACGGTCGTATGTAAGGGGAAGCGCAGCCCAGCTTTGATGGCTGCCTCATAGCAGCCAAAGCAGGCGCTATCATAACTAGTACCAGCCGGCCAGACGACTGTGTCTTCCGGATCCGGCACAAAAACTAAGAAGCCAGGGCCCATTACATGGTTCGCAATAAAGCTCCCCACTTTTTCTTTCATGGCCTTGATTTGGCCTTTTGGAACCGTGCAGTAGTAGGGGGTGTTTTGCTCTCTGTAGGAGGCGGATGGCTCTGCCCAATTTTCCCCCTTCTCAACTGCATGAGAAAGCCTCGCCTCTTGTAGGCGGTTGTGTCTCTCCTCTGTGTCTAGAGAAGGATGACCAGATGAACTAGAGTCGGACTCGTCCTCCGAAGAGTCCGATGAGGACGACTCCTCGCCTCTCCTAGAGGGGCCCGCCTCCTCTCCTTCAACAGGATCAGGAGAAAATGTAGACATGTCTACGGTAAAATGGGAAGGGACCACCTTGATCCCTCCCTCAAATATGTCAGCGGTCAAGCCGCCTTGGTTCACTTCAACATCTGGCGCCTGGTCAGATGTCTCACTAATTGGCACCTGGTAGGAGGAGCCGTCCGAGTTTGTGATCCTAGCAGTTCTTTTTGTTCTGGCCATTATGTTCTGCATAAACACAGAGTTAGTCGGACTTTGTATAAAGGGCAAAGATTGGTTCGAAAAAGGGCAGGCGGCACTCCTAGTCCTAGACTCAGCTGTCCCCGGTGACTGGCTGATCACTAACCTAGGTCGTGTCGTATGCTTCCGCGGTGCCATTTCAAAAAGGAAAAAATAAGTAAAAGAATGAGAGAACAAACGGTTACCTGAACGAGTGATGAGTTGACGAAGTTCTGGAAAATCTGAGTATCAGCCGACTTGTCAGAGCAGGCGGTAGGCAGGAAATGTCCGAAATGTCAGAGTAAGTTCAGGGGTCCGAGTGTTCTCTTAAAAAATTTCTCAAGTGTGAAAATATCAGAAGTCAACTCGCCCTTATATAGGCAAAATGAGAAGGCGAAGAGTCACTCCCAAATTCAAAATTTGAGCGGGAAAACCTCTCGGCCTCTCACCAAGTGACACCTATAGCAGGTCGTCGCCTGTTACGATCCGACACCTGTCACAGGTAACACGTGACCAGTCACGTGCCACCCGTGAGGGGCAAATGATTAGGGGATTTTTACCCACCAATCACCATCTGACAAGTGGACCAATCAGGTTCCGCCACGTGTCCTTCACATGGGCAAATAGAAGCCTGCCACGTGTCAATCAGAGATACGTCCACCATGGACCAATTACGACACGACACGTGTCCCCCTATGCCAAATGGGAAAACCGGCCAACAAGGCACAATCCTCGTGGGAAGCCCAGTCTGCCATAGGTTTAACCTAAACCTAGGAATTAGCACGCATCCCAAGGCATATAAATATCCTCATTAAAGGGGAATATACACATTAAACACTCTCACCTAGAGAGACCCAATTATACTATTCCGCATTAATTACTCCTTAAACAAGTACTTACTTGACCGTTGGAGGCGGATCTCCAATCACTCGGAGTATCCGTTTGTTTTGCAGGTCCAGGCGTCCGGCTCTAGTCTCAGAATTGTAACTCTCCCGCAGGACATCAAAAAACCCCGAAACAGCATCTCCCTTAAGGTGAGAAAACCTTTAAGTTCGTAAACTCTAGTCTTTTCTTGGTCTAGCCCCGACTATCCTTCGGGGTAGAGGTCGTTCGGGTCGGGGCTCGAGGGTGGACTCCGTCAGAGGCTTGCGCGCTTGCGGAGCTAAAGCTTTGAAGTCCGAGCTCTATAGGAGCGAAGCACGCGTCGGGAATAAGAATGTCATTTCCCTTTCTCTTTCTTTTGTTGTTTAATTATGTGATTGCATGCTTAGTTGCTTTAATTAGTGGGTGGGTCTTAGGCAGGTTTCTCTTCTGTGTAGCGTTGGACTCTACAAAACCCAATAAATATATAAAAGATAATTAAAGACGCATGGCAAACTAGCATAACCCCTTGAATCTCGAAATATCCAATCCTCAAGGTTACCATCGCATCTTTTGGCTACGTCTTCTTAGGAATGCCGTCTTTAGACTTCACCATCAAGCATGCAACTTACTTAGTGACTAGGACTAATCTAAATAATCTAAGTACAAAAATACTTAACGTCACGCAGTCAATATTTAGATTTACAAAAATACGTAATGGAACGCAGTCCGTATTTACTATCCTAATCGGGCCATACTAGTTGCCTTTTGTAAGAACCTGCTTAAGAAAATTTATAATATTCCATTCACCCATTCACTTCTAAAGTGAATGGCCCATGCATTTTTACAAATAACACAAGCAACAATACAAAACATTGTATCAAACAAGCCCGTACTAGTTACTAACTTAGGTGTTTAATCCGATTAACACGCCTAATTAAAACTAGTCAAGTGTTTATCCAATTATGTGAACTAACGCAATAACAAAAAGCACAATTAAGGCTTAGTAAAGTTCAAACCCAATTAATGAAGCTCCCACTAAATTCCACATCCAACTTAATTAAATTAATTTAATTAAATATTAATTAAGCCGATCAAGTCAACTTTTGTTAAAATTATGCAAGTACATGAAAAACATAGGCCTAGCATTGTTTTAAACAAAACCGCAAAATAAAATTGAGGAAATATCAAGGCTAGCATATAACCAAGCCCTTAGCTCCAACTCAAAAGTGGGTGCTGCTAGGTTGCGAGGCTTAGCAACCATGCTAAGGCCCCAGGCTGATGATGCCTAGCATCCCTAGCTGCTCGCACTCACGCAAGTGTTGGGTGCTGCCTAGCAACCCCAGCCTTGCGTGCCGAGCTACTGCTGGGCGCTGCCTGACAGTCAGTGATGGCCGGATAATAGGTCGCCAACTACTATCCTAAATCAAATCATACAATTTATAAACCTACACTTACACTACCTAGATAGTGATAAGCAAGGGTCGAACCACAAAAGAAACGGGAGAAATGCACGATTAAGGTGAAATCAAGAATCTATTGCAAGGTAAGAAGGGTATTTTAAATTTTTTTGTTGTTTTCTAAGAGGAATAAAAGCTACCATAATTAATAAAAGCACCTAAATGAAATAAAATCAAACTAATCACTACTACAAAAAGAGCATTTTCTCGACGCTGGACTTTCGACGCTGGGCAAGCAGCGTCAACTATTAATTATACTATGCTTATTATCTCGACGCTTTTGTAGGTAAAAATTAATTTTCGGCGTCATAAGCGTCGAGAAACATAACACGTGCCCCACACGTGACTGCAAAAACCCTCAATTGTAGAATTTAGGGAAAATGAAACCACGAACAAGAGCACAAACACAAAAACAAAAACCTCTAGTTACTCATCAACCAAACTACTCTTCTCTCTTTCAATCCGAATTCTACAAAGTCACTTATGGAGCCATTGTATCCAAAGTCAGATCTTTGTTTTTCTGGGAGTAATTTCATTGTGAGGAATATCATTTTGCGAACCAGATTCTTCGAATTGAGGTACATCAATTTCAATTTCAGATCTTTGTCCTTCTTGGATTCAATTTCAAATTTATGTAAATCAATTTAAAATTCAGATCTTCATCTCTCTTTAAACCAATTTATAGATCTTGACCCAAAATTGTAATCTATGTCGTCCCTCTGAGTGCCGATCGATAATATTAAGGTACAGACCCAAATTTGTTTTTTAATGTTTTATTTTTCAATAATCTCACAGATTATGTTTAGATATGGGTTAGCTTCATGAGTAATTGAGATTTTAAGGTTCTGTTATGTTTCATTTTATGCTTCTGGTTTAATTCAATTCAGAAAATTATCCTTTTGTTTCATGTTTATGAATGAGCATGATCGCATTGTTTTTCGTCTCACAATTCCATCACAATTCGCATTGATGATCGTAGGAGCTGCTGTGAGTGCTGACTTCATTTGGCTCGTTCTCCTTCATTAGAGAAGCTTTTTAGGTGATTCTTTTTTTTAATTTGGGCGTTTTTTTGTCTAATTTCTGCATTAAAATTTCAGAATTTTTGGAGTTTATTTGCTATTAAACTGGGCTGTTTTATTTGGACTGGTCTGTTTTGGTTCGAATTGGTTTATTCTTGCTATTTGGGTGGGATTTTAATAGAGTTGTTCTGTAATTTTCTCTAGGGATTTCCTGTGTGATTTAGGGTATATTGAGGGTGTTTGAAAATATTATTGCATTTTTTATTCCCCTGTGTTTCTTGCTGCTATTATTTTCTTGTGCGTTCATTTTTCCATTGTATGTGATTACTATGGCAGAGTAACTGGTAAATAAAAAAACTTATGGATGATTTCCATCAGAAATGTGAGTAACTTGATTAGAGAACAAAACAACTATATTGTAAGACTAAGGCTAGATTCGAGGCTTTCTCTACTCTAATAATTGACATCATAGAGAAGAAAAAGAAAAAGAATAGTGATGATGAGGGTGAATCAATCACTCTAATCTCAATGATAGGGATATAAAATTGTTCCCAATATTGCATGGAGATGGCCATATTACACAAGGATGTTATCCAAATTCCTGAAAATTATCTAAATTCTTCCTTTTCTCTCACTATGAGACTATGAATCTGTTGGTGCATTCTATGTTGCCTATGTTTTTGTTGCCTAACAAAATTAAAGTAGGAATACTTTAGGATTGTTGCTCATATTAGTGTTCTTGATTGCTAAGCAATTCTTGTTTATTGTATTCTCTAGGTAATTTCCTAACATCTTTAAAAGGACTCAAGTGTTTCGAGTTTTTTACGTGTCCTATGGGAGTGTTACAACACCTGCAAAACAACGGAGACTCCCCCGGGGCAGGGAGTTCCGCCTCCGACGATCAAGTTAGAACGTGTTCGGATGTTAAAAAAGTGCGGAATGTAGATGGGATCAGGCTCCTCTTAGGAGAGGAGTGATCATCCCGCTATCTCTTACAGCCTCGAAATCCGAGCCTTAGCTCTCAAGAAGTCCAATTAAAGCTGGAGTTAATGCTTAGCAATTAATGTACACGTGTGTTTAATAATTTCTGAATCTCCCCCGTTCCCTGGGGAACATCTCCCTTTTATAAGGTCTCGTAATGTGTGCCAGTCCTAGGTTTATGGAAAACCTAGGCTTGACTGGGCCTTCTTAGAGTATGGGCCTTGGAAGGCTGCTTGTCCAAGCTGACAATCTGTTGACACATGTCGTGCTCTGATTGGCCCACTTTGGACCTCTCACGAGGTGACACGTGGCGGACTATGGTTGGTCCACGTGGATGACACGTGGGAGAGTTCAATTGGTGCACGTGGCGGGGTTAAATACCCTAAGCATTTGCCCCTCACACGGGTGACGTGGCAGGTCACACTTTGATTGGCCAATGGTTTTTACGGTTTTTTTTTTTTTTTTTTTTATTTATTTACTGTCTCTTGAAATTCACCCTCCTATAAATAGGGGATGTCCAAATCACTTGTTTTGACGTTGTAGAATTTTCAAACTTTGGACTTAAGCCCTTGACATCTTCTTAGAAAGGATGACTGTCGCTTGCTACCTAACCACGTACTCTTACAGCCGCCAGATTTTTCAAGCACCTTCAACTTTTCAAATCATAGGTAACTGCCTGTATTCTCTTATACTTTCTCTTTGTTTCCGTTTTTGAAAATGGTATCCCCAAAGCACACGGCACGGCCTAGGTTAATGATCAGTCGGTCACCGAGGACGGCTGAATTTAGAACTAGGATTGCCGACTACTCCTTGCTGGACCACCCCTTGCGAACTGCCCCAAGTCCGACCGTCTATGTCTCTATGGAGGACACCATGGCCAGAACTAAAAGGGTGACAAACCCAGATGGCTCCTCCTTCTATGCGCCTGTCAATGAGCTATTTGACGTGCTGCCTGGCGCCCCAAGTACCCCAGTGATTCCATCTAAGAAGAATTAGGGGAGGAAGTTCAAAATGACATTCCGTGCTTTGTTGATCAAGGCCGCTAGGCGGACAATAGGTCCGACTCCTCTGACAGCGAACCCGAAACAAGCACCTCAGGCACGTCGTCTGATGCCTCCGAGGAGTTGCGCTCTTGGCTGGAGAAGGGGGAGGACTGGGCTGAGCCGGCTGCTGGCTGGAGAGATATGTATGCCGCCTATTATTGTCATGTTCCCGCAGGCAGGCGGAAGACCATGGCTGAAAAGATAGGGAGCTTTAGAGCCGACCATATTATGGGCCATGGCTATATCTAAAAGTGGGCACGGGCACGACCTCCTGGAGGCACGGCCCGGCAGGGTGGCCCAGCCATGGGCCTTGGGCGTGCCGCGAACACCGTTTTGATTTTTTAGCACGAGCTTTGCACGAGCCCGCTTCAACCCCGGCGTGCCGGCTCGGTACCGCCCCTCGTGCCAATGGTCAAAAACGGCTATAAACAACCATTTTTGCCATTTTTTCCGTTGGAGCAACGGCCATAAACGGCTCTATTTCCCCTATTTCTTTCCCAAATTCCCTATAAATTCCCAATTCCATTCACTTCCCAAATCACAAATTCACAATCTTCCTCTCTTATATTCTTTAATAATCCTTAATCTCTTATATTCTCTAATAATCCTCTTAAATTCTCTAAATATTATTTCTTAATATCGGAAAAAATTAAAAGTTCGTAATCGTAATTAGTGGAAAGCGTTGAAGCACGGTTGTAAGATCTAAACTAATCTTCAATTTATTATTGTTGTTATTGTTATTAGTACATTTATTGTTAGTAATTATTATTGTTATTGTTATTGTTATATTTGTTGTTATTAATTATTATTATTGCTATTATTATTGTTAAAATTGTTGTTATTAATTATTATTGTTGTTATTTTTATTATTACAATTATTGTTATTAATTATTATTGTTGTTATTTTTATTGTTATAATTGTAGTTATTAATTATTATTATTGTTATTATTGTTGTTAAAATTGTTGTTATTAATTATTATTATTGTTGTTAATTATTATTGTTAATTATGGCATCGAATGACACATCATCTAGGGGGATGGGCCGACTTACCCGTGGTAGTAGTTCTAGGGAATCACCTAATCCAATGTGCCCCCAAATTCCGAATCCGACCATTCCAACCAATGACCCCGGTAACATCCCCCTAGGCTTTAAACAATTTAGGCACGATGGTACTTCCGGTTTTCAACCCTATAATATGCCCGGATTTCAATTACCAAACCAATTTCCCTAATTCGGTCAATTCCCACCAAATTACTTTGACCAACAAATTTTTTATTCTAGCCAAGGTAGCCAACAAATCCTAAATGTCTCCGGTTCTACTACTAACCAACCAACCCCCGATTCTACAAACACCTAATTCCCACACATACATGAGGAATGGTTAACCGAGAGTGAGATGGTACTTGTCAAAAGCCACAAAAGTGAGGTATGGCGTTATTTCCTCCTAAGTAGAGACCACACAAGAGCAAAATGTAAAACATGTGATCATTCATTCTTGGAAAAATCCACATCGGGGACGGGACACTTAGGTAGACACATGAAAATTTGTGCAAAACCAGCTAATGATCCAACCCAGCCAAAAATTTCCCAATTCCATCCACACGGCTTTACCTATAACTATGAGAGGGATAGGGATGAACTAGGGAAAATGATAGTACATGCCGAATAACCTTTTCTTTTCTCCGAAAGTGACCCATTTAACATTTACATTAACAAAGCATTACAACCCCAACATAAAATAATCTCTAGGAAAACCGTTCGTTCTGCCGCCATGAAAAACTTCCCAGAGTACAAAATGCGGTTACAAGCCGAATTGAGTAACCTTAATTGTAGAGTGTCTTTGACTGCCGATTCTTAGGATATTTGTTATAAATATCACTATTTATGTGTGACTTGCCATTGGGTAGATGATCAATGGTTGTTACAAAAACGAATAATCCATTTCAAAATGCTGGAATACCCCCACACCGGTATTAACATTTCTCACCATTTAATGTAAGCAATAAGTGAATACAACCTTCGAGATAAAATGATGTCTATGACATTTGACAATGCAACATCAATGACATATACTGCTAATTATGTCAAACAAAACATGACCGATGTAATATTAGATGGTGTTGCACTTCATACTAGATGTGTTTGCCATGTTCTTAACTTGTATGTACAGGATGGACTTAGAGCAATGGGTCCGTACCATAACAAAATTAGAGAAGCTATTATGTCTATTAATAGCTCAAACATGAGATACCAAGAATGGAAGAGTTTTCTAAGACAACAAAAGATAAGGGCAATAAAAATCAAAACCGATTGCCCTACTAGGTGGAATTCCACCTATGACATGTTAACCAATGCAATTGGGTACAAGAATCCGTTGACAATGTTTTACAACCAAAAATTTCCAAACAATGCTATATATGAGGATGATTGGGCTAAATGTGAATGATATATGAAATTTTTACAGTTATTTTATAACATAACGTATTGTTTTTCTTCTGTTTATAATCCTTATGCTCAAAACTTTCTTTCAACTGCATGTTTACTCGCCCAACTTTTCACTGATCATCGGAACCAAAGTGATTATGATCAGTATCATCCAGCAATGGAAAAAAAGTGGCGTAAATATTATAGTGAAATTCGTTTGATTTATTTGTTTGCTTCCATATTAGATCCCGGGCAAAAGTATGAAAATACATTTATGTTAGTTGACATTTACTTTCAATGCATCCTTCTTGACGATGATGTAGAAAACTATAAGACTAATGTGAAGGATCAATTTTTTGCTTTATATAGAGTCTATGAAGCCAAAGATGGCACCGTTCCTCGCTCAGGGCCTTCCCAACCATCCAAAAACGTAAGTAAGAAGGCCAAACATTATTTTCACAAGCTACTAACTTGATTTCAAGGTTTTCAGGTGATTCATCAATAAGGAGAACACAAAGCGATGTCTCGGAGTTGCAAATGTACCTAAGTTACGACTTCACCAAGGGAAAGGACGACGATGAGATAAACAGCCTCGACCTCCTTGCATGGTGGAAACAAGAAAGCACGAAGCATCCTACTTTGGCGGCAATGACACGAGACATTCTTGCTATCCAAGTCTCCTCCGTTGCCTCCGAACGAGCTTTCAGCGCATCCGAGAGGGTTTTAGACGATAGAAGAACAAGTCTAAAACCCAAAACACTTGAAATGTGCGTGTGTTTCAAAGATTGGTTGGATGCGGAAAATCGATCACAAAACCGTTCTTACGACGACAACGACAACGATGAAGGAACCTCCGCTTCCAACCGTTCGGGTTCGGCTAGTTCCCAATCTATCCAACTAGCCGATGACCTTGAAAACGAACATGAAGACGAAGACGAAGACGCACAAGAAGAAGAAAAAGAAGAATATATAATTTTTGTATATTGTACGATTTTTATCATTATTATCATTGTACAATTTTTTCAAGTAATAATAATATGAAGTATGCATTATTCACATCCAAATTCCAATTTGCCCTTTTTTCGTTAAGTTGTAATTCGTAATTTAATATAACAAAAATAAAATTGTAAGAATTAATAATTAATAATACAAAAATAAATATAATATATTATAAACATTAAACTATAAAGTAATAGTTTAAACAGAAGATATAAATTTAAATATTAAATATTTAAAATAACAAAATATATATATAAACTTAATTTATTTTAGACAAATAATAATATAAGATTATAAGTTATAAACTATAAATAAATAAATAAATTTAAAAAAAAAAGGGAGGAAAGCAGCAGGCCAGCCCGCTAGGCCAGAAGCGTGCCAGGCCAACAAGCAAGCCCAGCAGGCCATCCCACTAGGCCAGCACGGCACGAGCCCGAATGGCATGTGGGTCGTGCCGTGCCGTGGGCTGGCCTGTGACTTTGGGCGGCACGACACGTCTTCTCAGGCACGACCTGTCGGAGCACGTGGCCCGCCAGACAGCCTGCGGCTGCACGACCCGGCACGGTGCCCACCTTTAGCTATATCCTTTGCGTGACGGATGCTGAGGACACCGTAGTCCAGCAAGAAGGGTCCAGTTACGGGGACAAATGTTTTACGTGTTATGAGGCGGCAATTCAGGTTGGTCTTCGATTTCCCTTACATCCGACTGTAAAGCGGATTTTAGATGGATACCAGCTGGGCGTCTAGCAACTTGCCCCCAATTCTTGGTTCAACATTCTGGGTATGTTGCCGGCTGTGAGATGATGAGTGTGGATCCAAGCTTTGAGGCTTTCGCCCATATGTACTATCTCAGCAAAACCCCAGAAACAAGCGGTGCCGGCTGGTACACTTTGTCTAGCCACAAGGGCTATATGATGACAATAGGGAAGGATAACAAGTAGAAAGACAAAGTAAAGAATAAGTACAATAGGTGGAACCGCAATCCACCTGTCCTAACAGGCGCCACTGAAAAGCCACCTGTTCCAAAAAAGGCAAGAGAGGAGATCCTTGATCAGAGTCTGTTCAAAATGGACATTTAGGCGAATGCTGTAACAGGGGCGAGAGAATACATCCCCCAAGGTTACATTCCTCGTCATGACTGGCTTTTTGACGGGGACTATTTAATCGCTTGAGGTCTTAGTGTTGAGAGGCCGAGAGGTAGTTAGCCCGAACGTGTTTACAGTTTTTGTTAGACTTGGCTGTTTTTTTGTACATTTTGTCTAACCCTTTGAAATCCTGTTGCAGACAAAGCAATGGAAAGGCTCCCGGCCATCAAGAAGCATACAACCTACTACCGCTCCCTAGCTACGGAACACTCGCATGCCAAGCAGGCGTCCAAGGTGAATTTCTTTTAACTTTGAACAAGTCTTATTTAGCTTTTTTGTAGCTTGCTACTTACTTATTGTGGTTTTTGTTGCAGGGAAACTCAACAAAGCCTTCCTTCTCCACACAGCCGGATCCTAAAATTAGGAAAAGGCGGCTGGTGAGGTGACGACTCCTAGGAGAGCCAGGAAACATGTGGCCAACAGCCAGGAAGGACCCTTCCTCCAAGTGGAGGAAAGTCCACAGTCGTCCCAGAGTGCAGCCGGCCTCCGAAGGAGGGAGAGGCGGTAGAAGGTATCAGTTGTTCAAACCCCTTGCCCTACCCTCGTAGGGTTAAGTTTAATCAGTAGTCGGTCTATTGGCTGCATTTAGACCAAGTACTTATAGAGTATTAATTGTGCAAATGCCCCTCAAAGGTCGGATCTTGTACAGCTGGCCAACTCCATGCTGAAAGCCGTCTTCCTTGAGGACAGGGAGGCGGTTAGAGGAGTCGGCACCCTCAACCCTCAACCTAGACGCCATCCTAGCTCTTCTGGCTGAGGTATACTTGTAACGATTTTCTATTTCTTGTTTATATAACTTGTGAGCCACCTATAACTGACGTCTGTTTTTTTGGGGCGAGTGCAGTCTATGTTGCGAGTGCACAGTCTCCGCAAGCCCCTAAACGAGAAGAACAAAGAGTTAAAGTCTGCGAAAGCTCGGGCCGCCTCTGTTTCTAACACAGCTATGTTCCAGATTGCTCAAAATGAACTTCTTACTAATGACATACTGTATTATCAGGCGGCTGCCAACTTGCAGGTCAAAACAGATTTAGAGGTGACCAAGAAGAGAATCTATGGAGCAGCAGGTCAAGGATCTAAATGCCAAGCTTGAGCCCTTAAAAGAGGCAGACGAGGAAACAGCCGGCCTTCGAACCCGGGTGGACAAGCTGAAAGCCCGGCTGTAAAATCAGGAAGTCCAACTCGCAAAGAAGTATACTTCAAGGGTTGAGGAGGAAAAGGCGGCACTAGTCAAGGACATGATGGACGACTGCAACGTCGTCATGAAGATGACTTGGGGGGCTCTCTTCCTGGAGTCCAACTATGAGTCCTGGCATAATCAGTTTGTCGCCTCCTCTCAAGAGTAAAATGAGAAAGTCATGAACCAAGCCCAAAGAGGCTCAGGGAGAGGATGAGGAGGAGTCGTCTGATTTTACCTCAGGGGAGTCGGCCTAGGAGGAGGAGGAGGCGGATGCCTAAAAGAGCAGAAGCCGACTGGGGAACAAAAGGATGCGACTGCTGTTACTGAACAGCCCCCTCCTGCTGCTTACGCCTTTCTTGTTTTAATTCTAACTTCTTCGGCCTGCGTGCCGGATGCTCTGCTTGTATCTTTACCGACCGAGGGGTCGGGTTTATTGACAACTTTAACTTTTTTGTTGGTCATTTGGCCAACTGTTTATATGAATCATCCGGCCATTTTGGCCGGTTTCTCCAAATTGCTTTAAATGTTTGCATTTCATAAATTATGCTAAGTATAAGTAACCTGCTTTTTGCATGAATGCTTATTTCATTATACCGTCTGTTTTTTCCCCTAGCCGACTGTTTGCCTTGTTTTCAAAGGTAAATTGATTGACTTGGGAATATTTGATACTGTAAGGAGTATGACTAATTTCCAGGTCAATCAATCAATATGGTGACTGCCCCAAACCAGGCGGTCAGTCGGCCATTGCACAGGCGAACATACAGCATTATCCGGCTCTCGGCCTCAATATTAGTTCTGTAGACGAACCACGCTTAGCTACTAAGTTTTGTACTTAGTTTATTTTATTGATTGTAAGTTGCCTGTTTGTTTGGTACCTGTACAGAAACAGGCGTCAAACGGGATGTTTAACCAAAGTAGCAATCGATTGTTGGGTTACAGGAGGTAGCTTTAAGTATTTCGCTAACCTAAATAGGAATAGTGGCCGAATGTCGCCTGTTTATTATAAGGACAGACGGCTTCGTTTGACCGTTTAGGTTCCATTTTAGGTTATTCAGGTCGAGCGACTATGAATTAACCTTTGTCACCTTTGTCAATCTTTGTCACCTTATTTTGAGTAAATAGAAGAGGTAGACGGCCGTTAGCCGCATGTTGTTACCTCACATGTGCTAAGTTTTAGACTTAGCTTATTACTCAATTAGCTGCTAAATGTGGAACTTAGCTTATATCCTCAAATTTTTCCAACTGTGTTGCTGCTGAGCAACAACAGTCGGCATCCAACTTAGATATTATAGATTACCGCATGTTTTTAAAGTAGTCGGTAGTCATTGTTATCTTAGCCTCATTTGATTAGTTCATAGAGCAATGTGCCACCCAAATGGGAGATACTCTTTGCGATGAATTCACCCAAATGGATGTTGCGGATGCCAGGGACAGACGTGTTAGTTTATTTTATACAATCCGGCCATAGGCCTCATATTGATCATCCGGCCATAGGCCTGACTTAGATCATCTGGCCATATGCCTCAGAAGGTTGTTCTAAGAGGAACAACGCAAAGCCACTAAGTTTTCAGACTTAGCTTAGGTTTGCTCATGTTGGAGCAGAAAATCGAAACAATTGATAAGGTCGCCTGTACATTGTACAGACGGTACTTTTATAGAGAGTACATAAAAAGATAAAAATTAAACCTTCATTGATACTTAAGTACAAAATAAAATAACAATTCTTAGAAGTAGTACTTTTTCAAGTTATCTACATTCCAAGTTCTGGCTAGCTGCCTGCTATCTGGTGTTTCCAAACGGTAGGTGCCGGCTCTTATTTTTTCATAGATCCGGCAGGGGCCTTGCTAATTGGAAGTCATCTTTCCCTGCTCATTGGCCCTACCAGTCGCCTCCATTTTTTGCAACACAAAGTCCCCCACTTTCAGGGGCTGCTTGTGCACTCTTTTATTGTAGGCTCTCGTTATTCTCAGACAATAAATCTCATGGCGCAAGGCAGCATTGCCCCTGCGTTTTGGAAGTAAGTCTAGTGTTAGCCACATGGCCTCCCAGTTAGCCTCCTCATCATATAACATAACTCGAAGAGTTGGCTCATAGTGCTTAATAGGCAAAACAACTTATGCCCCATAAATCATGAGAAATGGAATTTCACCGATCGCCCCTTTTTCAGTCGTCCTGATGGCCCACAGAACATGCGGTAGCTCGTCAGCCCACAGGCCGCCAGCTCTTTCAATTTTCCTTTTGATGCCACTTGTTGAAGGCTTCAACCTGGTCGTTTGCTTGGGGACGGCCGACTGATGCAAAACAGTGAGAGATCCTTGGTCTCCCAACCAGCTCTTGAGAGCAGGTGTCTCAAATTGAGGACCATTGTCAAAGACCATAGACATGGGTAGCCAATACCGAGTGATGACATTTCTCTAGATGAAGGAGATAACATATTTGGTCTTAATGCCTTTGACCGCCTCTGCTTCGACCCATTTGGTGAAGTAGTCGACAACAACCAGGATATACCTCCGTCCGCATGTAGCAGGCGTATAAGGTCCCAGAATATCCATGCCCCACTTGGCGAATGGTACTGGGTTATGGATGGCCGTCAGATCAGTAGTCGGACGGTGGATGAGTTTGCCAAACCCTTGACACTTGTCACATATTTTCACCATTTACATGGCGTCTGCGTAAAGAGTGGGCCTAAAGTAGCCCTGCCGCCTGCCTCTTTTTGCTAGGGTCTTGCCGCCTATATAGGAGGCGCATGAAGTCTTCTAAAACCTCTCGTCCCCTCTCGGGGGTGACACATTTCAGTAAAGGTTGGAAATAGCCCTTTTTGAAGAGTTCTCCATTATGAATTTCAAAACTGGTCGCAAGTTTTTTCATTGTAACCATCTCTAAGTAAGTAACCGGCAAGGTGCCATCTGTTAAGCAATTTCGGATTCCATCCATCGAGGTTGAGCTTCGGTCTAGTATTCCAATGGGATCTTCTTTAATGTTTCTCTTTTCCATAACTTCCCAAAAGACTGACCTTGGTGTGTCACAGGAGGCGGATGATGCAAGTTTGGAGAGAGCATCCGCCTAATTATTCTCGGACCTGGGCACCTGACTTAGATGAAATTCGTCAAGTGTCCCAGCCTCTTCTTTGACTGCCTGAAAATATTTAATCATAGTTGGATGGGTGGCCTCATAGTCATCATGATATTAACTTATAATCACTGCGAATCAGAGCAGGTGTCCACCTTTCTTGCCCCAGCCGCCTTACACATGCGTATGCCGGCTAGTAAGGCTTCATACTATGCCTCATTATTTGAGGCTTGGAACTTGAATCGTAGTGCATATTCATACTTGTCTCCTTCAAGAGACTGACATATGATGCCTACACCACAACCGTTCAGGGTGGAGCTCTCGTCCACATATACCTTCCAAAGTTGTTCAAGGTTTTCAGGATCAGCCGGCCTTGTCATTTCGACAATGAAGTCAGCAAACGCCTGTCCCTTCACTGTCTTTCTTGGTTCAAAGGAAATTTCAAGGCTCTGAATTTCAATCGCCCATTTGATCATTTGGCCGGACGATTCCATGGTTGTTATTGGTCGCTTGATTGGTTGGTCTGTGTAAAACACTACCGGATGCGCCAGGAAATAAGGTTTTAACTTCTTGACTGCCATAAAGAGGGCAAGTCCAAATTTTTCAACCATGGGGTACCTCAACTTTGCATTCCGTAGAACATAACTGATGAAATAGACCGGGAGCTGGGTGCCGCCTCTTTTAGCATGGAGAACAGCACTAAGCGCATAGTAAAAAACGACTAGGTACAGGTACATCACTTCCTTTGGCAAAGGGCTAACCAGCAAAGAGTGCAAGTGTTGTTTCAACTTTTGAAAGGCCGCCTCTGCATCCGCCCCCCATTCAAACATTGTCTTCTTTTTAATAGCTTGGAATAAATAGAGGCACTTGTCGCCTGACCGACTAAAGAACCTCCCTAATGCCGCCAAATAACTTGTCAACTTCTGAACTTCTTTTACAGTCGGGGGTGACTGCATGTCTATAACCGCCTGTATTTTTTCTGGGTTGGCCTCTATCCCCCTTTGATCAATGACAAATCCGAGAAACTTTCTACACTCAACACCAAAGACACGCTTCTTGGGGTTGATCATGACCTGGTGCCGCCTAAGTGTAGCGAATGTTTGGATTTGACTATCATGTCATCAATGTACACCTCCACATTCCTTCCAATTTGATTAACGAAGACTATTAATCATTCGCTGGAAAGTAGCAGGCGCATTCTTCAAACCAAATGGCATCACAGTATAGCAAAATAACCCCTGATCAGTGACGAATTTCGACTTTTCTTGATCTTTTTTCCACAAGGGTATCTGATGGAAACATGAATAGGCGTCCATAAAGCTTAACAAGGCATGGCTAGCTATAGAGTCGACCAGACTGTTGATCTTTGGAAGAGGATAACTATCCTTCGTACATGCCTTGTTCAGGTATGTGTAGCCAACACACATGCACCAGGTTCCATTCAGATTTATCACGCGCACAACATTGGCAACCTAATCAGGGAAGTAACACTGCCGAATTAACCCAGTATCTAAAAGCTTTTTCACCTCGGCGACTGCCGCCTGGCTTCTCTCTTCACCATGGTTCCTCTTCTTTTGCCTTACTGGCTTCTTTTTAGGATCCATAGCAAGTTTATGGGCGGCTAGATCCGGGCTGATGCCTGACATCTCATCCACTTCAAAGCCAAAGATGTCTTTGAACTCTTTCAATAGGTTGTGCAGTCTGCACCCAATTTAGCAAAACCAGCGGTCCCTAACTTAACTGTATGTTCTGGACGAGTGTCATCTAGAACAATATCAATGTGCTCAGCAGCCGGCTTGGGACGGAGTTCATCCGACCATTCTCCAGCCAGTGATTGCTATTGCTTTTCTTTATTCACACCCACCAACTGGTCGACCTTTCTCTTTTTGCCGCCTGCTATGGGAGCAGGCACGGCGTCCTTGACTTTGTCAAGTTCTATAGTTTTTCCACTGGGGCTGGATGCGACCACATTGGGTTTGACGTTAGGGAGATAGCACTCCCTAGCCGTCTTTTGGTCTCCTTGTAGGGAGCCGACTGTTACATCATCCTTTTCAAACTTGAGAACCATAAGGAAAGGTATGATAACAGCTTTGGACTCATTTAGGGTGGGACGACCCAAAATCATGTTATAGGTGGTCAGCTCTTCAACAACTAAAAATTGGACCACCAAGTGGCGTCCCTCTCCCTTTTCTCCCAGCCGAATAGGTAAGTCTATTCGACCTACCGGATGCACAACTCCGCCCCCCAAATCCCACTAAGGGATGAGAGACCTTGTGCATGCTCTCAGGCTTGTACTTGAGCTTGGTCAACCACTTATTGCTGATGAGATCAGGCAGCTGCTGGTATCTATGAGGATTCATCCCACCTTTTGGTTGGCCACTTTGCATTCGATGATAATGGGGTCATCATGCGGCCTCCTGACGTTGCCCCTGTCTTCCTCAGAGATGAAAACTTCAGGGAAAGTGTCCTTAGACGCCTGCCCCTCATCAACTGAGCTGACATCTAGCCGTCTGATGTAATCTTTGGTTCCCCAAATGGTAGGGCCGCCTCCAGCATAACCGCCTGCTATTGTATAGATCTGTTCTTCGTTAGTATTAGAACTATTAGCAGGTTGAGACTTTTTCTTAGACGACTGCCCAGGGTTAGTTTGCAGGGTAACCTTGGACCTCAGAATGTAGGACTTGAGCATTCCTTTGTCAGCCAGACGGTCCAACAGCCGCCTGAGACTATAATAGTTGTTGGTGTCATGGCCAATGTCCCCATGGAAGTGGCAATATTTATTTTTGTTCCGAATTTTTTGGCGGAACCTCTCATAGCAGCCAACTTTTCTATAGGCATCCGGTCTTTTATCTCCACGAGGATGAAGTAACAGTCTTTATTGAACTCATACTTTGGGGAGTACGTTTTAGTTTCTCTCTTTTTCTTCCGGGAGGGCTGTTCAAAGGTATTAGCCACCCAGACTTCTATTCTTTTCTTTTCTTTTCTTCTTTCTTAGCCGGCTGTGATGATCGACTATCTCTTTTGTCAGACTTCTTGGAGTTCGACTGCTTACTGATGTTGTAAAGTTCGGTATCAGTGCTTCTTGGAGGGTAGCAACCCTCTTTCCGACAAGGTCGAACTTATAGGCCGACACGTTCTTTAGACCTTTGAAAAAGTCTGTGTAGGCCACTTCATCAGACAGCCCTTGAATCTAAATTTTCATTGAATTGAAACGCTTGATATATGACTGAATGCCTTCTCTCTCTCCATGTTGAATTGCACCCAAGTCAAGACTTGTTTTCTTTGCAGGGATGTTCATTGAGAAGTTGGACGCAAACAAGTGTGCAAGCGTTTTGAAGTTATTTATGGATCCGGCTGGCAGGTTTCCAAACCATTGCTTGGCGACACCCTTCAATTTTGCCGGGAAGCATCGACACCATGCGACATCATCCAACCCTTGTAGATACATGAGATTGGTGTATGCCATAAGGTGATCTTCTAGACTGGTGGTACCATCATAGTAGAGCTGATCAAGTATGGCCCGACCCGATTTTAGGCGGGTTTTGGGCAGATTTTTTTTTAGGGACGGGTTTGGGAATGCGATTTTATGCATTTTTAGTTAATTTTTAGGCCCGGTCCAAAAGTGGCCCGAAAAG